ACATAACTTTGATATACTACATTTTTCAGGAACACCATGTATGAAGGAAAATAATTTTGAATCATGCCCCCAAGTGACCAGCATCGTCTTAGGTTAGGTTAGGTTACGTTCAAAGTGAGTGGGTTTATTCGACCATCCACCGCAACCCGCAAGGGTTTATTGTGGCTCACACCTATTCACACTCGACCAAATAAACCAAGCTTCTTAACGAAGCCGATTAGTTTGTATGGTGAGTGGTCTTTCAGGTTAGATGGTTAGAGTACGGCTCTGCCGAACTCAAAAAACTGATTTGGTGCCCAGTGGGGCAGACACAAAGTATATGCTCTGCTGTTTCATCGTCAATGAGGTAGTCGAATAGTCAAGGTGCAAGATTCCCACCCTAATACCCGCGACAACCTTCCCATATGAAGGTTTTTGAACATCAGCTACACCTGACGATGCCTTACATTCAACCGTGCAGGGCTTTTTCGCCTCTGGTTTTGGTGAATCATCACTTGAGCGCAAACGTTTGCTAACCTGCTCATGGGGGATTTGTTCCTCCATCTGAGACGCCGCTCAAGAATTTGGTGCATGACGGTTTTATGAGGTACCCCGCTCTTGAGGAGACGACTCAGTCGTTTCCTGGCTGCACCACTAAAACTTTTTTTTAGGTTCAGTTATTGAATCAGGTGTTGGAGAGTTGAGGAGCTCTCGCTCCTGATCGAAATTTACAGGGAGGTCAGTTGGATTCGTAAGATTGACATCCATTTCATCTGTTCAGGATTGGAAAACCTTGTTGAAAGTTCTCTTAGGAGTCGTCGTAGAAATGAAAAAATGTATGAGAAGTGTGGTGTTCCATTTGAAAAACATAACTTTGATATACTACACCTCGTATAAAGGAAAATAATTTTGAATCATGCCCCCAAGTCACCTGCATCGTCTGGCTATAGAACATCTCCAGAAAGGTTTCGTCTAGCCAATAGACACCCTCCCATTCCTCGTGACTCACTCTATATTTGCCCAACAGACCTTGGAGACCTTGGGCATGAAGTAGTTGCCTGCTGTTTCGAAAGCTTCTTCAAAGTCTTTCTTCAGCTTCCCTATCTACTCCTCTCCATCCGTTTCTATTCACTATTATCTTTCCCATCCTGGTTATTCTGTTATTTTTCAATCTGTAAACATGTCTAATCTTGATTCTTTGGGCGTTCATTCTGTTCAAAAAATCTGTTCAAAATATGTTTTTCCGTTAACCAGCTGTCACACCCCTACGAATGACAACCCTCAGGATTGACGAGGTCTTACCGTTTAACGTGTAATTCCTAACACGGGTTGAACGATAGCAAGTGAAAATCGATCGTTCAGACTAGGGCTTGAACCACCGACCAACACGACAGTCAATTCGAGTGAGTGAACAAAGCACCCCCGTCGAACCGCGGTAATTACTTAAATGAAATGAATAAAAACACTTTCAGATCGGTGCCTGTGCGAAAGTAGCGATTGACATTGGATTTGAATCGCTGGAGATCAAATCCATTTGGAAAAACGTTATCAGGAAGTTTATTCAAAATAAACACAGTTTAGTGGCAAATCATTGGGAAACTTCACATTTTATTTTCGATAAATTTGACTGTACTACTACAGTAGTAAAACCAGTTTGGGAAAGTATAATCATGATGACATTCCTCACAGATTGGACTTACTGCCCATCATCACTGACACCGGAAGTATGAAATGAAACAGTTCAAAATGTAGTCGGATTTCACTGCAGTGGACACCTAAATAATGCTCCCATTTTAACGTGACGTCATGCAAGATTAACAACAATAATTGTACGATAATTTTGCATGCAGTTTGAAAGAAGAGAATGTTTAATTTAGCCTGAGGGCAAAACGACAGGTCGAATTCATTGACTGTATACTATTTCTGGTATTTGTTACGATTTGTAATAAACAACCGAAGAGACTGGTTTTTATGTAGGTACAGCGAAAGTTGCTACGAATACTGGCATTGCAGAAAATATATCAAATTTCAATTTCAATGGAAAGATAGGATGCTAATATTGTGTTTGACATGTTATTGCAACAGTTAGCATTGAAAATAGCTGGGATTTTGCAAAATAATATACGATACCATATTATTCTTGATGATTCACCGATGTCATTGTAGTTTGGAGCTGTATCCTGACGTTGTCATAACGATGTCATCGGTGAATCATTAAGATGAATAAACCTCTGAAGAAGCCAGCCACTTTAGCTGGCGAAACGTTAGGATACAGCTCCAAACTATGACGGCCTTCAAACCCGAATTAAGATCGTAACACTGATAATCTGTAGCCTTTATTCAACCAATAAGTTGTCATCTTGAGAGTTTGTTAGAAATTTCATAAGATGATTGGAGCTTCAGAAGCGTTCAGTTCTCAGACCTTTGTTGTGTTTTATATGTTGAAAATTCAACTTCTGGAATACTGACTCGAATTCATGAGACCAGAAGAATGTTTCTTTCGCAGAAGAAGATGGAAAAGACAGTGAAAAAAAAATTTAAATGAACTGTGAATAGTTTGTTGCCATACCTAAGAATTGTCGTAACTTTTCAACATCTGCTAGTCGTTCTACTGAAGCGACAGATTTCACCTATTCCGAAGAATATATTTTGCTTAAAATGATCTATGTCGAATAAAAACATCGAAATGACCTTCTATTTTTCTTAAATCTATGATTTATGACAACATTTTAATAAACCCTGCCAAAACTCAGACGGTTTATTGTTTTGCTTCCTTTATGTATGAATATAGTTTGAAGTTCACTGCTCTTTTTATCGACGTTAAGATGAAGATATGCTTTCTAAAATACCAGCCGGCAGAGAAATTTTAACTATTCCATCTTTGACAAGAAAAATAANTTATGTATGCAATGCTTTAATTTCTCTCTGAATGGACCAATTTTAATGAAGTTTTTCATTTGAAATGAAATGATAATGTATAAATTGAAAGGGTACATATTTTCAGGAGATATTAACATTTCGATAAAAAAGAGACGATGTTCTCCTATTAATTCGATCAGAAATGTTTATTCCCAAAATATAGCCGGATTTATTTCTGAAATAATTTTCAAAGTAACATATAAAAATAATTGTTTAGATTTTGCATTATATTTATGACTTCATCCCCATCCAAAGAAGTAAAAGTAATATGGTGATTTAACATCTATAATCTTTAAAGAAGAGTAATTTTTTGCGGTACAATTTTTATAAAATATTGTACAGCCGGTGCATTTCAGTACAATTGTTCAAACTGATGATAAAACATCTAATTAAATTTATTTCATCTCCGTCTACTTCTCAAGAGGAGAGTGTTGCAGTTCTGGTGTTTAGGATCAGCACTTGTTTTGATCTTTGGAGAAGCTGGCTAGGTTAGGTTGAACTACGATGGACTGAACTGGAAAGCTGATAAGGGAAAGAGGAAAGCAACCAAGTGCCCTATAAATAGAGGAAGTATCAGAAATAAGGATACAAATAATGAAAACATTGTGAAGTAGCTTGGTTCGAAATCTTTCATCCTTTTTAATTTATTCATTTTCTTTCAACTATTATTTATTCCTCATTCTTATTGTTAGTACATTATTGACATTTTACTAATTTACCCATTCACTAATTCATTTCCATTTCAGCTCACAATTACTTCTTTCTTTTGAAAAGTAGCACTCGTATACTTTCAAGTTTCGTTGTTTATTTCTTTTAATTTTATTGTATTTTTTTTGTCCAATCCATTTTGGATATTTCTATAACACTGATATTTGACAATTTCATTCTTTCTGATGTTTAATGTTTTTCTCGTTATGAATTTCAAATTTTTTAACAATTTTTTTGACAATTGAAATTTTAACCTCTAACATTCAGAAACTGAGAAGTATTTGCGAGAGTTTCTTTATTGAGCTTCCTGGGATTTTCACTTGAAAAAAATAAGAATTATAATGGAGAAGTGGTGTAGAAAGGGTAACCTTCTAGATCATCCCGATAAATTGCTGCATAAATTCGATTCATTTAACTTCTCTTATTCGATAATCTTGTCTATTAAAAAAGAACTATGAAATTGTATAGATACGTTTTGAAGGCCGAAATCTCCNCTCCACCAAACTTTGGGACCATTCTGATAAGTTTCAACAAAAGATTCTTCAAAATACTCCATATATATGTTACTTAAGATGGGAGATAAAGGGAAACCTATAGCCATGCCAAATTCTTGTTGATAGAAGTCAAACTGAAAATAGGTTTTCTCTATGCATAATTCTATTCTAATATACAGCTAATATAGATATTTTTCGATGTTTTTAATATTGAATCCTTGGTTGAATTAACTTTCAACCTAAATTTTATATTTTGAATAATTTCATTAACAGGTGTATTTGTGAGATGACTTTCAACATTGAAGCTCACCAGAATGTCATCAGTTGGTGTTGAAATTTCTAGTTAACGTATGAAACGAATGGTACTTTTTTACTAATGGAAAAATAATCCACTACGACGCATTTTTCTAAGTTGAATTCAAGTAGTTATCGGGGTTGAAATTTCTAGTTAACGTATGAAACGAATGGTACTTTTTTACTAATGGAAAAATTATCGACTACGACGCATTTTTCTAAGTTGAATTCAAGTAGTATGTTATCGGGGTTGATAAAAAGTTTACCCTTCCTACACCTGTATAAAATTAAATTGTACAAGGTGAAAATCACCGGAAAGGTCCATAAAAACTCTGATTGCAATAAAAAAATGGCTTTTGTTGAACATTTGATGGACTTTTACGCCCTGTATATGTTTAACCTTGAGAAAAGTTGCTCAGTTGATTCATTAATCAGTTCCATTATTTGTAAAAAACAATTTTTGATTAATTCCAGTAGAAGTTATTCATTATTCCAGCGTTGATTCACAAATCAGTATTCTCATTTGAGAGGGTTTCACTTCGTCTCCATGCAACAATCATTTGGGCTACATAAAACTTATTTATATATATGCAGGTCTATACTCACTTCAAATTGTCAATTGGCTATCCCTATTGCAGTAACAAAACTTAATTAGTTCCCACACAGAACCACTTGTTACTTATTGCCGCAACACATTTGGTCACTTTTTTTTTCAAACACATTTATTTGTTACTTCATCAGCGATGTCTGCGTCTAAACTGAGTTTCCAACAAGTGTTGATTCAGCTTGTGTAGGCAGTGGAGTTGCGCACCATTGCTGGAAGAACGTTTGTTGTTGATTATTTATTGCTAACGGAGATGCAGACTCCTTTTTTGGCTTTGTCGACGACTTTTATGGAAGAAATAATACGTGGGTTCGTTTATTCCTTCCGTTAGCACTGGTGAGATTTATTTCGTGAAAGAAAACAAAATTTATTATACAGGGTGTTTCATTATTTTATTTCAGGGTTTTTTGCTTAATATAATTGTTATTTTCTGCTATTCTTTCTAATTTTCAATTTTATTTGTTCTTTCAGGGATTTCAAATCATATTGTATCATATTAGACAATGGAAGTTCGAACTAATATAAAACAACTACCTCAATTGCTGGAGTTCTTGCAGTCCGATGTGCTCCTTTCAAGTCCTGTTTCACATCCTTCTGTGGGTGCTTGAAATCGTTCAAGCATCACAAACAAGTTTATAATATTTGAGAAGCGCTGTTGATACAGTCGCCTGGCTTGATATACGTTTCCATCAGTATACCCATACAAGTGATGCATGTCTGCTAATTTGGTATTTGTAAAATTCACCATATTTTTTGATAATATCATGTATCTAGCTAGAGAAGCGTCAAAATTATTTATGTTGACATCAAAATTAGCACTTTAGCCCGCAAAATACTACAGTTAAACGGCTGGTTTCCCATAGGGACATTTTATTTTCTACCTTGAAAATTATCCGCCGGAAGGGCATTTTCAAAAATAATATTTATTTGCAAAAAGGACCGTGGCGTATCATTATTTTCATGAAAAATATGCTAGGGCATGTTAACAGGGACGCCACTAATGAACGTTGAGAATTCTTGTTATCACAATTGTGAAACTAAGAAAAATCAAATAGGGACAAGTAAATGAATGCATTTTATTTTCTACCTTAAAAATTGACCGGCGGACGAGAAAAAAAAACAGGACCAATTCTATGAGAAGTTGAGGACAATTACAAAAATAATATCTATTTGTAAAAAGGACAGTGGCGTACCCTGATTTTCATAAAAAAATGGCATGACAGGGACGCCACTGATGAACAGTAAGAATTTTTGTTATCACCATTAGTATTCAGGTATATTCATCCAAAAAACATATATTTGGAATTTAAGAAAAAATATAACTAAATATGTATGATATACAAAAATGTTATCACATAAAAAATAAATTGAATCAAATAATTGATTATTTTTTTCCTGCAGGGTTTTCCTGCAGCTGAAAAAGCAAATGCGCCACTGGAATCAATGAAGTCGCCCCGGAGCACCCATTAATTTTTATTGTTGTATTTATTTTATTTTTAAGATGCATTGTCAATAAAAAATAGAAAATTGATTATCAAAATAAGAATATTTATGTTCACGATAATCCAAAACGCACCCAATCATTTATTAATTTCTGTCTGAACCGCTAACTTTGTTTAAAAATTCGGTCGCGATGAATCCAATGCCTGTTTAGAAACCTGTTGAAAGACAAATTATGAAAATTAATACCTTCTGTTAATTGATGATAAATTAATAATAATTACTATCACACCGAATACAAATCGTTGTGATTTTGAAGAAAACATTAATTGACTTGAAAGTACATCCAAGTTGAGAGTGATGAAATGAAGTGGAATTATTGGGATGAAAAATGCTTTTTCATAATTTCCACCAGAAGAAGACCCCTTTGAGCTATAGGTAATAAAAATATCTACAATGTCAGTGTGAATTTTATGCAACAAAAAGTATCAATTTCCCACGAAATTATAATGCAACTTACCATTTCGCGTGGTAAAAAAGTCTATTTTTTATTTTTGTTATATAATGTAACGAATCTGAAGCCGCCCCTGACCAGTACGCCGGCCGAATCATGGAACAAACACATGACATCACCGCGAAAGAATGCAGTCGGGAATCGCCGGTAAAACTCTAGTACCGAACCGACTACAGATTACAAATTAGCACGTCTTCCCGACCCAAGAGGGCAGTTCAGAAATTGAATCGAGCGGCTAAACAAGAAATTCAAATAGTAGAAATAAATTAAGCGTTAGTTGCTATTTTTCCCCCGTACCTTGTAATAATCACAATCTGTTTAAAATCTGTTTTTCCGTTAACCAGGTGTCGCACCCCTACGAACGACAGCCCTCAGAAGTAGAAGCTTGTGCGAGCTATGGAATAACGAGGTCTTACCTTTTAACGTGTGATTCCTAACATTTTCTGATAATATTCATTCTGTTGATAATTTTTTTCTTCTTTTTGCGTTTCTGACCGACTTCTTTCCTGATCTATTTCTATTACCATTACGTCAGAAACCTAGACTGGCCGATTCTGAATGATTTGAGAGGAAAATAAAGTTAAATTCTTCTTAGAGAAATATAGCACGTAATATATCTGTTATAATTCTGAAGACTGTATCGAGGAGTGATATCTTCATATAAGATAATGGATATTTCGAAATAGAAATCTGGAAAAATGTATCTCTGCAACATGCAGTCGAGCCGCGTTTAAGTTAATTGAGTCCCAGGCACACTGCTATTCGAGTCGGTTATTTTCTGCATTGATGAGAGGTAATACTCCGAAATTGGTCTGTATATGACTAATTGACTGAATTTCGCATGGTCCTACTGCTGGATGAACGAAAAACATCTGCAAGACTAACCTCTGTGGGGCATAAATATCTGTCGGATATAAATCAATGTCCAACGTGGTATTAGCCGGGAAAGTAGTTGTTTCCGGCAGGCAAACTCTGGTATAGGTACATTGGGAGACATGAATTTTTCGAGATTTCCATTTGAAAGTATTAATTTCCTCGTATGTGGGTGTCTCTTCTCGATACAGCCTCCATAATTATTTTGATTTCTGTTTAGAGTATTGGTACACAGGATGTTTCTTTCCCGCATGGGGCCTTTGTTGACGGGATGAAGGTTTCATGCAAAGGTTTTATGCAAGCAGTCGAGCCGCGTTGAACTTAGTCGAGTCCCTGGCACACTGCTATTTGGGTCGGATCTTTTCTGTACTGATGAGAGGTAATATCTCGAAACCGGTCTGTAGGTGATCTAACCGATTGATTTCAGCATGGTTCTGCTGCTGGATGAACGGGAAACATCTGCAATAAATGTCAGTCGGATATAATTCAACGTCTAGCGTGATATTAGCCGGAGAAGTAGTTGTTTTTTGGCAGGCATCAACCAGCAGGTTAATTGGACGATTTAACGCCACTTTCCCTCAATGGTGAGGTCATTCCATTTCGAACGGAAGTGAAATATCTTGGAATTGTCCTTGATAAAACACTCACTTGGAACGCTCACTTGGACATGGAACGCTTGGACTTGGAACGCTCCTTATGGACATGTCGAAGGATTTGATCACATAAATCCATTGCATTTAGAGATGCAGAGTGCAACAGACTACTGGTTGATACTGGAAGTCACACCATTCTGGAAATGACCTCTGACTCAAGCCTTCAACTGTCATAAAGTACTGTTCCCGAGTACAGAGGACTGAATCCTCCGGAAGAATGAAATATTAGGAGCAGATAGTTGTTGGTTCACAGATGGATCAAAAACACCTTCAGGATCTGGTGCACGTGTTTTCAGTCGCAGACCCAGGACAGAGATATCAACCTGCCTAGACACAATGCGACTGTATTTCGTGCGGAAATTTACGCTATTGAATTGTGTGTGGAAAGATTGGAAGCTTCCAACCTCATACACAAGTCAATAAAAATATTCTCGGACAGTCAAGTGGTGTCGGAAGCTCTAAGCTCCTTCCCAGAAACGTCTAAATTGGTAGCAAATTGCTAAAAACGACTCTCCTCGATAGGAAGACTCAACAGATTGTCTCCGGTGTGGAATCCTAGCCATACTGGCCTGAAAGGTAATGAGGCTACTGACTCCCTTGCAAATGAGGGTGCTGCAAGCAGCTTCATCAAAGCAAAACATGTCATTGGCATAGCTTTAGGCTTTGCCAAACAAACATTGAACACCTGGATGGCAAAAAGATTTATGGACTTCTGGCAGAATCTTCCAGGATTGGCTCACTCCAAGGCATTTATTCACCCTTCGAAGCTTGATACCAAACAGTTGTTGAACTACAGTAGGGATGAACACGATGTCTAATAGGCCTTTTCACAGGTCACTGTCATTGGAAGCATCATGTGTAGAGAGTCGGAGTGTCGGAAGACAGTGTGTGTCGTCTCTGTTTGGAAAATGATGAAATAGCAGAGCACATACTTTGTGATTTCGCCGCCGTGGACAGTAGTATTCAGGCAGAGCCGTATTCTTACCATCTCACCTGAAAGACCACTCACCATACAAACTAATCGGCTTCGTTAACAAGCTGGGTTCATTTGGTCGAGTGTGAATAGGTGTGAACCACAATAAACCCTTGCGGGTTGCGGTGGAGGTCGAATAGACTCACTCACTTTTGACCTAATCTAACCAGCAGGCCCTTTGGGAGAGATACATGTTACGAGATTTCTATTTCGAAATATTCATTTTCTTATATCTGTTATAATTGAAATGGGCACATATCTAATAACCACTCTCTGTAAATAGGAGTGAATGTGGCATGGTGTCCTAAAACTACCTCCGGGATAATTTGTGGGTGTGAATCTGCTGAGAATAAACATATCGATATGACTTTTAATAATCAATGATGAAGAAAATATCCCATTTCTTACAGCTCCAAAGCTCAAAAATTATCATAATGCATAAAAAGATATTTTTCAGCTTACTGTTGGTGTGAAGTCACAGACATGTGGATTTTAGTACCCATCCTGATAACAATCTCTGCGTCATTTTATTTGTATTCAAAATGGAAATTCTCGTATTGGCGAAGAAAGGGATTTGCCTATATAGAACCAGAATTCATTTTCGGAAACACAAAACAATTTTTTAGAAACCAAGTTTCGTATGGTGCACTGTTTGATGAGTTCTATAGAAAATTCAAGTCAATGGGACTCAAGTACGGCGGAGTATATAACTTCTTCAAGCCAATTCTGATAGTGACAGATCTGAATCTAATAAAAGACCTCCTACAGAAGGATTTCGAGTATTTTCCCAATCGTGGGTTTTATGTGGACGAAGAAAATGACCCGTTGGCCGGAAATTTGTTCTGTTTGGAAGATGAAAAATGGAAGGCACTCAGAGTTAAACTGAATCCAACTTTTTCATCAGGTATGAATCAGAAAAAATTAATCTCAGTACGCCTAAGTACATCATGATTTGTATTCGTGAAGATAAAATTTCCTCCTGTACACATTTCCAAGTATTTCCAATAGATCACAAACATTGTCAGATTTTTTTAACACATTATTAGCTGTTCCAATGCAAAAATGGTCGTTCTCCAAATGAACGAGATCTTGAAAAGTATTGTTCACGGTTTGAAATGTTTCTTGGTCAATAATAGAGATTCGTTTAACCATTCGATGAAGAAGTATTAACATATTTGAAATCTATGAATGGAATAATGAAAACTCTTGGGCGAATGAGTACGGAATCGAATGAAGTTAAAATTTCAGTTTTCAAATCAAGATTTTGAGTTTTAAATTTAAGTGTCTCATTTAAAAAGGTGTATCTTCAAGTCCTGTCCCTAAACACCAGAACTGCAACACTCTTCTCGACGCACATACACCAACCAAATTGGGGTCTTCAGGAGATGAAGTGTACAAGTGTACATATATTGAGAAAAGTTTTGCAGTTTGCCATAGGTTCCATTTCTACCTTCTAATGAATATGGTGGCATACAATGAGTCTCCCTAACTTTCACTATTCTTTTCGTTTCGCATTTACATGCTTTGATATCGATTTTTACAGGGCAGTTTGAAAAACCGCAACACATGTTTCACTATACAGACGCTTCCTCAGGCGTGTTCATACTGATTGAAAAATGAAAAAGTCGAGGATATATGAAATAAGCGGTGAGGACTGAGACAAAAATATATCATTAAGACCAAGCCAGCCATCAAAACCCGTTAGATATAAATATTAACCATTTAAGAGCTATACAATAGTTTACTACATCTCCTGAAGACACCAACTTGGTTGGGAAAATGTGCATCGAAATGAATATTGTAGATCTGGTATTTGGGTATAGTGGTTGTTTTGGATTTATTCCACGCCAGAGGTTCCAGTTTCATCTTATGTTTTACTTATTATTGATTCACTTCTACTCTCATACTCTTGAATTTCATACTCATTGTTTATTTCCTCTCATTTTCATTGTTTTCCTCATAGATTTCAAATTTGCTAAACATTTTTCGGAGAATGGAATTTCAAACCTCAAAAATACTTAGTTCACGGTGTCTTGAGGTGAACTTAGCAACGATGGACAACTGTCATTTACCTTGTTCTTCTGACATACATTACTCTTCTTTCATCCGATGTTCTAGACTCTTGACTATCAACGTTTAAGTCTCACATCAGACTGATGACTTTTCTGATGAAATCTATCAGCCTCAGCAAGTTCAAAGGCAGAGCTCCATATCATGAGCAATAGTCAGAAATTCTAATTTACAAAACATTAAGAGTTGCTGTGATATATATTTCGTTGGCACAATTATTCCAAGTTCCTGAAAGTTGACCTCATGTTATTCCAGCTACATGATCGTGCTGAGATATTTCACTATAAATTTGACATCTTCGAGAAAACTGGTGAGCCACGAACAAAATAGATCTGACCAGTCATAACATCCAAGTTTAAATGGTGAACCCTCATGCCAGACCCGGTCAAAGACTTTGAAAATGTCAAGCCCGATGCTCTATATGTTTCTCGATTACATTATGTGAAGGTAGGTGATGTAAAAGATGAAAACTCATTGGGGGGGCGTTAGAAAACTCCTATCCGGTGAGGTGTCACCCATGGATGTAAGAGCCCTTCCAAATGGTGCCTCATACTGAAGTGTGCCGAAATCTAGAAGACAGTGGAAATGGTCGTCGACTAAAGGACTCCAACTGTCCCTGTAACAATGGATCAAGAGAAAGAGCTCACAATTCTAGCTTTTGAACTGAATTTACAGAGGAGATGGAGATACTTCAACTTTCCTTCCTGTAATATCGGATTAGGAACAGGAACTTCTTAGTTCTCCAACACTCCAAATCTAATAGATTAGGTGGTGTAGCCAGGAAGTGACTTGTGGCCTTCTCAACAGTAGAATATTTTATGAACTTGCTTGCCTTGTAGCAAATTCTTGAGCAACAGAAGCAGAATATGCATCAAGAGAAGCAACCGTCTCCTCCTGAACAGGTCCTTATACTTAAACGATGATTCACCCAAACCAGATGCGAGAAAGTCCTGCATGGTATAATTCAATATGTCAACCTCAATAAGACACGATTCTAGAGCTGCACATTCCGATATGGATGCTTACAAGTTACCTGGGAGGTTCAGGAGAGCGTCTCCTGTATGATGGGTACAGTAAGTATCCTGCAGCTATCTCTTTGAAATGCCACACTAGGTCCTCACTAGAGTAAGGAAAATGTACCATCGTCTGTTAACTCAGGAGTAGATTATTTTTCGTCAGACTCACCAAATAAAATAATTGGTTCCATTGAGAAGCTGGATTTATTTGGTCGAGTTGAATAGGTGTGAGCCACAATAAACCTTTTCACTGGAGATCACTCACTTCAGATCTACCTATACTATATATAATAGATGTTAAGGAAATTCTCCTTGCTTTTTTGGGTGTAGGTTAAACACCAGTGGTATTCGTGTGGTCTTCCAGAAAAAAGAAAAGTATATGTGTGTTCATCTAGACCTTCATCTAGACCTACTTTATAAAGAAAATTATCCCCGTGGATCCCGCGACTAATTAATTATCAGATTTATAATCATGTTTAGAACATTTCTGACGTATATTTTTTCTTTCACAACTTCGATAATAATAAATAGTGTTTTACCCTCTTCTCAATACATAGTATTAAATTGAGAGCGAATAAATTTTTTTTATCAATTTTGCATACTTGAAAAACTTTTTTAGGGAAAGTGAAAATGATGCACCAAATTATATTAGAATGCACAACAGATCTACTCGATATGCTCCAAACCAATTCGGCACAAGGAAATCCTGTTAACGTAAGAGAAGCAATGATGTGTTTCACAACTAACGTCATAGGTTCTGTGGCTTTTGGAATTAAGTGCAACACCTTCAAGGATCCAAATTCGGAGTTCGCCAAGTTCAGCCAGACAATGATCAAACTCAATTTCAGAAATATCCTAAAAATGTTTATAATACCTGAGTATGTTCCAAAATGGTTTTTGAAAAAAGTTGGTTTTCGTGTGATACCCAAATCCTTAGAGAATTTTTACAAGAACTTGGTCACAAGTACGATCGACTATAGAGAAAAGAATAACATTCACAGAAATGACTTTCTGCATTTCCTACTGCAGTTGAAGAATTTGGGAAAAGTCACAGATGATGGCACTCTCTGCAAGGACCCAAGTGCCAAATCTCTGTTGACCGTGAATGAAATCGTAGCTCAATGTTACATTTTTTTTCTAGCGGGGTCAGAAACTTCAGCTACTACTATTAGTTCTGCACTTTTGGAACTGGCTGTCAATCACGATATCCAGGAGAAGGCCAGACATGAAATAAGGGAAGTGTTGAAGAAACACAATGGAGAAGTGACGTATGAAGCCTTGGGTGACATGACCTACTTGGATCTAATCATGATGGGTAAGTCATTTCTGACTTGGTGTGCCAGGTAGTCAAACGATAAGTTTCTGCTGCTTGAAGCTATCTGACTTGCCCATTTCCTTCACGTCTTCTTTTCCTTCATCTATTAGTCCCATTTCAAAAATTCCTTTGTTGCACTGCCGATTCCTGCTTTGCTGAAGCGGTCCCAGGTCTCCGTTTGCGTTTTCTCGCCATATTTTTTTATCATACCCATTCCATACCAAATCCCATACCCATTCCATATTCTTTCAGACATAATTTGGGTTGTCCACTCTAGTTTTACTTAAAATTTTCAAACGAAGTAGTTATTTGTTCTGCTATATAGGTATACATATATTTTTTCTAGAAACTCTACGTAAACATTCCCCAGCTGCTAAATTGCTGAGGAAGTGTGGTAAACCTTATACAATACCTGGTAGCAACTGCGTAATAGAGGCTGGCACTTCATTGATCATTCCTGTATATTCCATACAGAGAGATCCAGATATTTACCCTGACCCAGAACAATTTGACCCAGAAAGATTCACTTCAGAAAACAAATCTAAGAGACATCCTTGTAGTTTTCTGTCCTTCGGAGATGGTAACTTCGATAATTCTATTGTTAGCTATAAGCTATAATGAATTACACATATTAAAAGTGTAACTGCTAGGTATCTGTTGGTCTGTACGTTTTTGTATGCAGATCTCAAAAATGTCTCAACCGATTTGGGTGCGAGTTTAGTAATATATTGCCTAAGCTACACTCAAAATCACATTTTTTGAAAGAAAATACTCTAAAAATATCATAAATTTACAATAGAAACTGAAATCAATAGATCGAAAAAATTGTCAGACCCGACAATCACAAAAATTAACAACAAACATGATTTAGCAATTTACCACAAACCAACTCATACACGTACACAACTATTAACAACCATTCTTATCACCCTTTTCAACATAAACTAGAAGCTTATCACAGCATAATCCACAGACTCATCAGTATCCCCATGTCAACATAGAATTTCAATAATAAACTAAATTTGAGTAAATAACAACTTCAATCCGGATATGATTCATCACATCCTCGACAAAAAATATTCAAACAAGCCGTTAAACAAGTATACCTTCACTTAAAAGATTATACCAACACTTTCAAAATGCTGACATATACAAGAAAGGCATCAGCAAAGATAAGTAGACTACTAACTAAACATAACATAAGTAGCATACAAGACTGATTACATATGATATATAAAAAACAACAAATACAGTATCAACAAGGACTACAAATCTGGTGTCTACAAGCTGAGATGTAGTTCGCGCCCAAAGGTTTATATTGGAAGACCATCTAGAAATTTTAAAACCAGAATTTCCGAATACAAAAGAAGTTCTGATTCAAAGAAAACCAATCCAACCTATCTGTTGGATAACAACTTCGATTTCGACATGAACCACGACGTACTACCCACAGAAAATAATCTCTCACCATGCTTAAATGATATGCAAAGAAAAAATGAGTGTTATGCAAAGGGTCTTTTAAGGCATCTATCTATTCATCATATAGCATAATAGTAGTGCCGAAGATATACGAGGTGTTTCAAATTCGATCCTCACCATTGGGATCTCGGAAACTATGAGAGATACGAAGATGGGTAAATTGGGGCAAAGTTGCGCATTTACCTGACTAACAATATGCCGTTGAGAAAGTCCTGAAATCCCAAGTATATCCGAAGATATCCGGAAAAAATAGAAATTTCGGAAAATGGTTTTAATTTTTTTTCTGGCTTTATTTTTCGAAGGATTGGAAAATAAATTGCACTNATTTTCAAACGAAGTAGTTATTTGTTCTGCTATATAGGTATACATATATTTTTTCTAGAAACTCTACGTAAACATTCCCCAGCTGCTAAATTGCTGAGGAAGTGTGGTAAACCTTATACAATACCTGGTAGCAACTGCGTAATAGAGGCTGGCACTTCATTGATCATTCCTGTATATTCCATACAGAGAGATCCAGATATTTACCCTGACCCAGAACAATTTGACCCAGAAAGATTCACTTCAGAAAACAAATCTAAGAGACATCCTTGTAGTTTTCTGTCCTTCGGAGATGGACCAAGATATTGCATAGGTATGTACTCAATCTTTATATTAACCTCTAACGAAGAGTTTCAATAAAGTATTGTCTGTTTGATATTGATAAAGAGTAATATATCATATTCTCATGCCGCTGACTGACATCCAACCCCAGACAGCGTTGAGGCTAGTACCACTGATGATACCTATGATGGGTCGAAACAGCGATGTCTGGTCTCGGATCATAAATGCGTTGTATTTGGGTTCTGTAATGAAAGACAGAGAACGAATNAATGATATTCCACAATTTGAAAATCGGAATTCTTTCAGAGTATTTCATTCCTCTTCCGAAGTTGGAGCGAACATCACAAAATGTCACTCCATCTAGTGTACGAGGTACTAACCAACTGCATATTCGTAATTTGCCCGATTCCTCTGAATAAGGAAGAAAAATTTTCTTATTAGTCAGTGGGCTATGCTTGTAACAAATCTAAATAAATTAACTTTAAACGTTCAAACCAGTCTCGAATATACCTACACAGTAGGTTTAATGGACTGACGCCTATCAGAAAACAACTACTTCCCTGGCTAATACCACGAAGGGCGTTGGATTATATCCGACAGGCGTCAGTGCAGAAATGTTTATATTTCATACTGGGAGCGATAACATTTTTATAGTTATATAAGTGTTTCAGTCTCATAAAAGCGATTTTCCGTTTTTGGGAAATGTGTTTGGAGAAAGTTAGGGCGCTATCCAAATAAACGTCTAAATTTTTGACTACGTTCACTGGATTCATTATATCATTTGATAATTTTATTTGCATATTTGTTTGTTGTAAATACGAAAGTGCGCTTGAGGTGCCAATGAACAAAACTTGGAATTTACTTGGATTAATTTTCAAGCAGTGGGAGTCAGAATTTCTTTTTATCGCCTCTAGGTCTTCGTTTATGTTATTTTCTGCAGTTCTATAATATTTCTATAATAGAATCATCAGCGTATTGATGTAAGTCGCAATGATGGGTACTACAATCCATGTCAAAAATATAAATTGAGAAAAAATGTGCCTCAAAATAGATCCTTATGGAACTCCTCGTTCAATGGTTTTCATAGAGGATCTAACTATACATTCGTTTTTTATTACAGATACACACTGGTAATAGAGAATCGAAGTAACTTCTCACCCAGTTGACACTACCAGAGGATAGACCTAGATATTGGAGCTTTGATAACAATACGGGGTGACTGATAAGTGCCAGAGATTTTTGAAAAATTCAAAAGTTAATTATTGTTATTTGTTCAAAGTTCTATTTTCATTGAAAAGAACACGACATGGTCTAATTTACCTAATACATACTTCATTTATCAAATTTTGATTGTTGATGGTCGTCGTCTCCGTATTTTTTCATTGGCTTTTCAAACGAATCAAACTCGGTGAGATTTTGATCCAATAACTTGAACATAGTTCGATGTGGTTGTCGTCTTTCGGGAGTTTAAATACATTTCCGACGTCCTAACACTGTTTCTATCGTATTTGTAATAAACTGGTATCTTCATTCGTGAAAGCCATTTTTCGCCAAAAATTCAATGACTTGTACAATAACAAAATATCATTGAGTGTAACAAATTGAAAGTCAAATTTAGGAACATCAAAATCGAAGCCTATTATGATTAGAATTAATTTGTTTCAATATCTCCAATTTTTCGAAAAAAAATAACTTATAATACATCATTGAAAAGGTGAAATCTGGTTCTATTCGAAATAGAAAGAATCCAATGTAGCGCCTATAAGAAAAAATAAAGTTGATGACGGTGGCTGGAAGACGAAACGTCGGATATCAGATCTGAAAACACCATTATGTAGCAGGGATAAAGTGGCAATGTGGAAGTGCAACTTATTTACGAATCCTTCGAAAAATAAAGCCAGAAAAAAATAAAAACCGTTTTCCGAAATTTCTGTTTTTCCGGATATCTCTGGATATACTCGGAATTTAAGAACTTTATCAATTTAACCATCTTCGTATCTCTCATAGTTTCCGAGATCCCAATGGTGAGTACCGAATTTGAAACACCCTGTAGTGTAATAAGAACGCATCTTAAATGAATTATCAATTTCCACATACTATGTTTTGGCATGGACCAGCCAAAATACATCAGAACATTTTAGGAAAACTCAAAAGTTGAAGCCCTCGTGAACGTAGTCTCTTAGTAGAATACAATATAAATCAATAAGTCTTTGAACAATTTATATTTCAGTTTTGGAAAATCAACAACATATTCGCATTATGCAATTGATGGTTCATGTAACATATATATTTTATCAACAGGGTTTGAATAGCTATACTGACTGTGCCCATGAAGTTCATCAAATTTTATACGTGAAATCTGCAAGTTATTTTTCATAATAACCCAATTGCGCGATACATACTTTTGAAGTTACTTTATACATTGCAGGAAGATTTTTGTTTTTGTACTACTAACACTTTACTTTCAGGTATGAGAATGGGAAAACTACAAATAAAAATTGGTCTGGCTGAAATCCTCAAGAATTTCAAAGTATTTCTCAACGAAAGAACATCTTATCCAATAGAATACGAGAGCACTCTAGTAAGCTCTGTACCAAAAGGAGGTATTTGGCTCAATCTGGAAAAAATAGAAAAATACTAGTTTCAGTGAATTATGTTGTAAAAGCAATTGAAAAAATTTTAATGTATAGGGTGGATCATCGATTTTATCGCAAGAAAACTGTCAAAAGGGTGAACTTCTCGCAAGAATCCAAAAAACACGTTAAGTAGGACAAGTTTTGACCCTTGAGCGGAGGTGGCAATCTCCTTTTGTTTCAATTGGGACTGCGGGTCGGGTGACACCTCTTTGGAAAGAGGTGCTTCGCTTATGACTATACTCTGTCCATCTAAGCAATCTAAGCTCCAAAACATCATCATGCATAGTACACGTGATCTCCCAGACAAGGCTGCTTGTACAGAGTCGCACTAAGGAACGATCAAAATTTTATTTATTTTTTTTGATAATATGCGGCTGGAGTTTAGGGACACACATTAGCAGTTTCTTCAGCCGTATCAGTACTTGACATTTTAAAATTTTCAAACTTGAAAATATCGTATATGTACACACCGGTCTATTGGAGGTCATCCCGACCAAATGAAATTAATTTCAGCTATTCATATATACTTGCGACGAATTTTCCAAACGGAATACCTACGTTGCACCGGTGCCTGATGGTTTTACTTCAGCTTTAAGCGCGGTATTGGCTGGGTTACGCTAGTTGCACACACACCGATTTTGGACGGCCAGTAAAAAATCGGCCGATATTTTATTGGTAGCGAGTACTTGCACACTCACCGGATTTTTATCGGTCAAACAATCAGTTGCTTTGTTGTCGTAGTTAGCACGCACTACCAAAACGAAGTTAATGCGTAGTAACTACAATTTCACCGAGCATTCGAGACTGGAATGGTCGGTAAAAAACCGGTGAGGATGCAAAAGTGTATTTAGTCATGTACGCCTCTACTTCCCGGTACTGCCGGCGATACAGTGACAGTGGACGGCTGCTCACCGGTATTTTACCGGCGACGATCACCGGTCGGCGTGTGTGCCAGGTCCCGTTCCCACATGTGGTTCATTATTGGAATTTGGACGACCGGTACAAAGTCGGCCGTCCAAAATCGGTGTGTGTGTGTGCAACTAGCGTTAGCTGTCGTTTTTCCGTTGGATATTTATCACACGTACTTACAAATCGTAGGTGCCACACGAGAGGAAGAGTTGGGTACCAGAACATGGGCATGCCACATGCAACTTTACGGAATGTATGCTACTAGCTATAATAATAGAGTACCAGCTAGTACTCAAAGACACACGGAAAATGTGTTGCCTTCTGAAACTTACCAATCCTTTTTCATTATTTTCTACTTGTACTGGCACTGTATGTATCAACATTGCTTCCTGTTCTGCCATTTGGTAATTGATTTACTGATTTTTCACAATGGAAATAAACCATTACTAATCGATTCTTCTCAGAGTTTGAAAAGGTCTGAAACCCCAATATTGAATAGTTCCACAATTGGCTCGATAAGTTCTTATGTTATCCATTCATCTATAGCTTTCATTATCAAGTGAAATAAAAAAAGACCCAGCACTTGTAGTTTCATGTTATAAGCTCGTTCTCGATGCTATCTTGAAATTTATCTTGTTTCATAATATCGAATAAGTTGGAAAACATAATTATTATCATTAAAAAACATTTTTTGAGGAAAACTCAATACTTTCTGCGGTTTTTTTGAAAAATAAACAGAGCTAAACCAATAGAGAATCCGCTGAAGTGTAATAAATTATGGAAGGTTATAAACCCAAAAAAAACGAACGACAAAAGACGAAGTATGAAGAGAATACTTGTGGCTTATTGTCTACTTCAGTTTTCTGGAATCTCTACAAAAAATCTGAAGGCGATAATCAGATATTCTAGCGGTGATTCTGAGGGATCTTATCTATCTATCTATGGGTCGGTCGGTAGCAGATCGGTTCGACGTGGGTGCTTTGTTCACTCACTCGAATTGACCGCCGTGTTGGTCGGTGGTTCAAGCCCCAGGCTGAACCCGTCCAACCCGTGTTAGGAATCACACGTTAAAATGTAAGACCTCGTTAATCCTTAGCTAACACAAGTTTCGACTTCTGAAGGTTGTCGTTCGTAGGGGTGCGACAGCTGGTTAACGGAAAAACAGACAGATTTATCTGCCTATTATCTGCCATAATGGGTTTGGGTTCGCCTGAAGGATTTCATCAATCATACGATTTTGCCGCATATCCAGATACAGAGGTCTGGTTGAATTTTCTCCGAAAAATATTAGTCCTTTATTGTGTTTGGAAAATTTGGTCCGAAGGTATCCAACTATTCTTAGGTTCTATCGGTCATCTAGACCCACGGGTCCGGCAATAAATGCATCAAATGTTTCATCAATAGTATACTAAAAAGTCAATCAACAAACGAGAAATTAATCGACCACAGAATTGATTTCACGTTAAAATTAGTATAAATCAAAAAAATTAATGAAAAATCTTTATTTACAAATTTGTCATATACACATCATTCAACTAGGCAACATTTCTTCTCCTCCTTTGGAACAAGCTCGGGGAAATGGAAAGAATGGGGAATAGGAGAGGATAGCAGAAAGTAGAGGGAAGGTCAAAATAGGAATCTCAGAAGGAGACATATTATTCAGTTGAGACAATTAAAGATTGTACCTACATGCGTTATCATTAGATACGTGTGAAAACACATACTTTCATAAATCATAATTTTCTTCTCCAAGTGAAAAAAGAAGAAACACGTTCTCGTTTAATTAAAGATAGCATTTATTTGGATAACAGCTTGCACTGAGTCGTCGGCAATTCTCTGACTTTTAGACCACTTGACTTTTCATTGTTCACATATTGTTCATTGAAAATGTCTTTTGGCACCAATTCTTTTATATTACACACCCAGTGTTTCCATAACTAGTAGAGTGTAGACACTTCATATTTCTCTGTAAATAAATTTTATATGAAAATTATAAATATGGTCCACATACGAAAAATTTCAATTCCCAGATATCGGAATTGAAAGATTGAATATAAAATAAGTTTTTATGTAATAACTAATGACTTGCTGAAAAATTAAATGAAATTAACCCAAAATCGTAAAATGGGGTTTTCACTATCAGTGAATTTCAATCATAAAAATAATTATTTCTTAGAATGTTAGTTTCTTCGGAGCAGTAGCCACATAATTCCATTTTAGCCTAAGCCAGTTTCTGGACTCATAACTTATGCACAAATTGATAACTGTTGCCATTCTTTCATAGTCCCAACTTAACGCTCAAAATAGACATTTCAAATAACAAAAATTTCGACACTGGTGGTTAAAATTTTTGTTTTTTTGTAGTTTTTTGGATTCTTCTAGGAAACGAAAAGTTTTTACAGAAATATCATTTAGATAAAAATTGTACATTATAAAATCATATATGAAAGTGGTTCTCAAACTTTTTTCTTAAAAAATGATGATTCCTAAGATATCGCCATTTTAAAAGTTGAAGGAGTTACGTTCTACATATGTACACATTTCCATACCAACTATAAGCTAGTGTATTTGTCGCGTTTTTCAACCTGTTTTCCCTAGTAGATCCACGACCTCTTATGACGAAGTTTTGTGAGAAAAAATATATGATGATTATTGACTCCGATATTGATAGGTGATTGATTTAAACTCTAGTTCTGATTTCTGTTAATATTTTAATATGACTCATACGCTTTATATTCAACAGTCATGATAATATATTCTTCGATTTGAATCAGCAGTCTCTTCTTCGATATCACACGAATCTTCATCTATTGGATTGAATTGAACATTCGAGCAAGACTGGTCTTGGCAATTAGTACACACTGATGAACAAAACAATCCTACTCTTCTACAGCCACATTTAGCACAACTTTTGTGGCAAAAAGTATTATCTTCGGGGTCTTCGGGGTTTAGTTGATTGCCTTACCATGTCTGAACCTAATAATATACTCGATGTTGGAGAAAGACAATATAGTTGTACTTGTTTTTTTGTTCCGTGTTTTACTTACAAAAGTTTAATATCTATAACTGTCGATATAATTAATTTTTTTGTGGCTCTATAAACGGCAAGGAGAAATCGAGTTTCATTTGTGATTACCTTTAGAGAAGAAAAGTAAATTTTTACAAATACTTCAGTGCAATCAATTCAATACTTTCTTTCAAAAAACAAGTGGTTTCCATGGCCCGAACGGATAATTGGCGCAGTCGGTAGTATAGTGGAAGAAGATCGACCCGAGAATTCTTCAGTTTCAAGTGGTAATCAGCTATAGAGCAACAGCTTTGTCCACCTATTCCCTATTCCAATTTCCAATCAGACCATAATTCCTTTGAAATCTTGTATTATCTTCAACTCGACTTGAAGAAAGCAAATGTCGCGTGCTTTGGTAAGTCGAGGTCTTTAATGTTGTTGAAGAAGACCCCGTGCATTGGCTTATCCTTGTGTTCCTCAGGAGTAAAGCGACAACTCGGTGACAGAGTTGTGATCACCTCGTTCGGTATCAAAAACTAAACCAAGTTCATCAGGCGCTCAATAAGCTGTTTTGAAAAACAATGCTTCAATTCACACTCTTTCATTTTCGGGACCATGCAGAGATTCGAACTCCTGATGAATTTACAAACTCCATCGAGAGTACCATCGTGTCATGTAGACACTCCTAGCTCAACTGTATATGATAATTTTTATCACTTTTCATATTGTATCATTTTTATCTTCGTACCTATTGCAAATTTGAATAATTTTTCGCTTATTGTGATTTTCTACTAACATATTTTACTTAGTATGTATCGTTACTTTGTGTTTTTTTCACGATGTCCATACTTGTATATAATAATATAAATATTCATTGATATGGTTTTTATACAGGCTGATTCACGGTGGATGGCACATTAGACGTTTCTGGTGAACCAGACAACGGATCACTTTGAAAATTTAATGGAGGGCATATTCGGACATTCTCTAGCCAACTAAAATATTTTCGACAATGCGGTGTTGCCGCTTCTATTAGAAAGCAGTAGCAACTTTGATTTTTCAAATGGAACACTCTGTATATAATATTATTTTTGGAATCTCCAACAATTGCCCGACAACTTTTCTTGATATTTCCCTATACCTATCTGTTACCGTTTTCGAAATAAAAATTAATTTCAATT